ACCGGGTCGGAGGAATTTCGAGTAAATCAACATGGACAAAAGCAAAATGTGACAGGTAAATATTTATTAAACTGTGTGTGTCAAAAAAGCGGCATTTAAAGCTGAAAGCTAAAGAGCTACAGATACAGATACATTTCCAGGAAGCTGAAAGATACATATTCTCGCTTTTTCCCATCTCCATGTCGATAAGTAAACGGATTTAAAAACTGCCTGATAAATGCCACCATTAATAATGGAAAATATCACATTATTTGCCAGCATAAAATGTAATTAAATATAATAGAAAACCATCAAAAAAGCAAATCCCATAAATTAAACTCTCTGCACTCTCGGCTTTGGCGATTGAACAAATAGATGGCGAAAAAACGAATGCAATGGAAAAAAAGTGTGCTGGGAAAATAATACAATTTTAAATCTGTCACTGGAATAGTTAATGCCATATTAGTTGTTCTGAGCTAATAAAGCGTAATTATCAACGCATTTATTTAATTAGCCGCACAAAGTGCATAGAACAAAGCCCCTCAATCAGTCGCCCTTCCCATTTGTCTACAAATTGTGTGGCATATATAATGACAATTTAATAGGCTTGTCAATCTGCTGCTGTTTGTGCGGTAATTTAATTTAATCCCTGCCTAAAAATCTGGGATTTCTAAACCGAAAAGGTTGCTAGGGAAAGGGAATCTGAAGTCTGTTTAAGGTTTTTATATTTTTATTTTCACTAACCATCCATAGCTCGTTCTACTTATCCAATCGACCAAACTTATTATGCAGTCAACAAGATTATCGGACTGAAAACTGAATAACAGACGGACAGCGAATGGATTTGCCATTTGATTTAACATTAATGAACAAAATGCAATTAATTGAAAACTATTTTCATTCTGTCTCTTTGTTTTTTTGTTTTTTCTTGTTTGTAATTACCTTTTGTGCATAATTGGTGGGCTTTAATGGGTTAACAAAATGCGATTAAGCGAAATGCAATTGTGAAATGCAAATTTGCCTCTTTTCGAATGATGATTGTTGGGGGGATATGCTCTAGTCAGTTGGGCTAATGACAGGCGGCAGATTGAAACTGGCCGATAAGGTCGGCCCAAAAGGACGTGCGGCCATAATTCTCCATCAAAATGGGAGTCTTCAGAAGGAGGAGCACCCCATCCACTTGTTGCTACAACTGCCTCTTCTGTGCTGTGACAGTTTACAAAGTGCTGCAATTAGAGTTGACAAAGTGCCCGACTTCTGGGCTCCCGGTTCCCTCCTCTTCCAGAACTCCCGACATTGTGCGAACACCCGAATGAATTTGTTGAAACATCTTCCCCCTGTTTGGATATGAATTAATCAAAGACTAAATAAAATGCTTAGCATTTGCATTTTAGCCCCCCGTTTGTTTCAACAAACAATTTGTCAGCCTTCGTAATGGACAGAAGCAAGTGTCAGCGTCTTCTTCGGATTCTTTTAAAAATACATCAAAAATACATATTTCTTGCCCCCGCAGAAAAATGCCAAGGAAACTATTTCGGACGCACACGGCTGTTGTTTCTATTTTATTTTATTTTATTTGCTGTTTCCTAGGGGGTAATTGGAGCTGCATTGGTCAGCCGGGGGTTAAGGTAAAGTAATTTTTATTGAGATGCCGTATGCTTTCGCTTTCGCCAATCACATTTTTGATATAATATTTGTGACTTTGGCATTGACGTCCGTCTGCAGGGGCTGTCGATCGAAATAGACTTGGCGCAGAAATGGCCCTCGGAAAAAATAAATAGAAGAAATATCTCAGTGGGCGGAAGGCCAGCGTTTTGAACTACTTATTTTTCCAAGGAAAACCCACGGAATGTCTCTTTTCAAAAATTCCCGATTCCGAATCCGAATCCAATCGCCCGTTTAAGCGTTGCCAAATGTCGGGCAATTAATTCTGGATCCCAACAAAAAACAAGAAAAAAGAGAGATGCACGTAAATGCTTTTCTGATTTATGAGCGCGCGCCGCACGAGATTTTATAATTTGTTCAACGTAACGTGCATGGCCAAAATAAATATTTTCCCTTCGTTAAATTCATAAACAAAATAAACTCCGGAATGATGCGGGTTTTCCCTGGCTTCGCACTCCCCACCTCCCCACTTAACCCTATGCCATCCCATAGTGCCGACTCAATCGCAATCTCTCGATGGGTTTTTGTGGCTTTTGCCGAGGCGATGAAACCAAAAATTGTTTGCCAGTCACGTTTGTGGTGCAGAAAGAGCAGTGCCAGTGGCTCCCCTCTCCTCTGAAAAGGGGGGTTAACAAGGGGTACTATACTATAACAGTCGAGTTGAGTCTGCACTTCTTCGTCGTCGTGGAAGATTTCGCGTCTGTGGGCGTTTATTTTCAACGCACTGCGGTTATGTAATTGCGAGGCGTCAGATACGTGATTACTTTTAGTCAAATTGCCGCTCGAATATTGTGTAATTTCGCTGCCTCCTTCACTTGCCATTTTATATCTGCGATATCCGAAAGTGTGCCATCGGAGTTGTTGGCCACCGGGGAAAGTGATAAACCCGTTGGCAGAAGTTAAGGTCAGGGTTGCAGATCGAAGTGCTTTTCAAGTGGGAGCCATTCGAATGTTACATTGGAACATTTACGCACTTAAACTTTAACTCATTTAATTAGTGAAGTTGAGGTACTTAACTAACTTGCACTCATTTATTTGGGGATTGTTTCCAACGAATCAACTACCTAACTTTTCAAGGAAAGTTTAGAATTTTAAATACCCAACAATTTGACTTAACCATCCAGCATTTGAATGCGGATACAGTTCAAGATCAAAGCGAAAGAGGTCACATCTCATAAATACACCTTTTATATACCTTTCTCAGGGAAGCAACCCATTAAGGTATTCAAAAATATTCTTAAATCATTATCTTTGCTCTGGTTTCGCGATGTTTCGCCTTCTTTTTTGCAGTGAATGACATACGAACCCCAAAGAGCCAAGAAAGATATGAGAAAAGTGGCCGCCTCAGAAAGGGGAAAGAGAATGCAATCTACCATGACAGTTCACGAAGGTTAAATTCTTGAGAAATGATTTGGTGGCAAGAGAACAGCAGACTGCAAACTGCAGACTGCAAAAAGCGAAAAGCAAACTGCCAATGCGAGAGCGCACTAATTAAAATATACGCAAAGCTGTTTGAAATTTTTAGAGCATGTCTCCCCTTTTTCCCGTCGCTCCCCCGATTCCCCCGATTGTTGCAATATGTGTACGAATACGAATCAGATTCAGAATGGGAATCAGAATCCGAGTCAAGTGAAGTCAAGCCATGAAATATTGTCACGCACCCAGGAACGGAATAGGATGTGAGCGAGAAGTGCCATTCTAATGAGCTCAGCAACATTTCCGCGACGGCCTTAATTTACGATCCCCGTCTGGGGAAGAAACTGCCAATATTTCCACAGCACAGGGAGAAATTTTCACACTTCTTTAAAGAATAAGAAATTTAAAAAAAATGTATTTTGTAAAATAAACTAATATTAATAATGATTGTTTGTTCTTTTTTGTTTACTCAATTAAGTGGTTAATTCCTTGTCAGAAAAATAAAAAATATTTGTGTTTTGATATTACAAAGTCTGAAAATATTATTTTAAAGATTACAATTTCCTTTTCTTTGAATAATAAAATATAATAAATCCGTTTTATACTTCCAATGACAACACTAATCGCTCTGTATGTTTTTTCTGTGTATCCCTCCTTGCTCCACCATCCTCTGGGTAATTAATTCCGCCCTGGCCTGATAAACCCCAGTGTAAACAAAGACATTTCATTCATCGTCAAAGTGGGCAGTGGCAATGGCCATTAGCTCATTCAAGTTTATAGAACTACAATCTTATCGGGCATTGATTCATGGATGTTTCGTGGTGCTGTAAGATTGATTCGGCAGAAGTATCGATTGCTTTACAGCTATTATTGGTGAGGTGACCAACCGTAAGTTAGGCGGAAGATAAGAAGGTGGGTGATTAATGGATTGGGGGGCGGGGTACGAGGTCAGTGAACCCTGGCTAAAATAAAACAACAGAACAGAACAGGGCGAATATCAACACGGCTAAATTACATCACAGGCTGGCCAGCAGCAGGCGTCAATTGGAAATGGGAAATGGCAAATGGAAATGGAGAGCAACCACTGCGTATACGTGATGTCAGAGATGGCAAGCGAGAGTGAGCGTAAGAAAATGGCTGAAAATAGATCAGGCGAAAAGGAAAACTGAACCGAAGAGCAGCCACGAAAATCGCAATTGCCAAGACGACGCAACTAAAGACATTTCGACCTAGAGAGCTGGCTTCATTAATATGCGGATGATATATAGACAATATATCGCTCAGAACGTTTTCAAAAATGTCTCAGAATCTGTGGCGCCAAACCGCAGTGATTCGAGCATTTCAAAGGAGGCGCAGGAGGTGGCAGCCACATCCGCAGCACTTTCGCAATTTGTGTATATCTTCGTGTATCTGGCAGATATTGTATCTGGCGGATGGCAAACGGCGCTGACTGACTGACTGAGCGAGAATATTCGGAAACAAATCCAATCCGCGCAGCCATTTCGAGGCGCTAAAAATAAACTCACCTTGAAAAGTTTCTAAAAATTTTCTCGCTTTTTGACTATATAGAATTTTATTCAATTTCAACGAGCCGAAGATCTACGATGTATCTGTACCTCTGTGTATCTCTGAATATCTGTGCTCTGGCCAACAAAACTGATATATGCGTCAAAAGAAATTCCCTGGATCGGCGTGCCAAGAAAATTATTTAGCAATTGAATATATTCGCGATGAGTTTTCGGTTTCGTAAGGGATTTTACTTGTTGTTAACCTTCACAAAATTCACACAAGGCACTTATTTTGTGGAAAGTAAATGAGGGGGGGTCGGTTGGGGTCTGTGATTCAGATTTCGATTAATCAGCGATCCTTGTGAATCGATTGTATAACCAGCTGATTTATACTCAACCGATCGCTGATTTCACATGTGATTTGGTACTGACCGATTTATTCCGATCGGGATTTGATAGCTGGGATTCGATTCGGTTTCGATTTGGTTTTTGATTTAGATTTGGACTTGGATCGGTTTCGTATATTCGTGGCGTTCGTGGTGCACTGCCAGTTCTTCAGTTCTTGGGCGACGTTAACTAAGCGACGATTTTCTCTCAACTAAAGCAAAAACCGAAACTGAAAATTTTTATGTGCATTTTGTGCCGTTTTCGAATACAAAAATCTTTTCAACCACATCGCTGGCGTCGCAGTCTCGGTCGCCGTCGCCGTCGGCGTCGCTGCTTTTGGGCCGTGCGAGAGGAGGCTATACGGAAAAGCTATAAAGACATTGTTGGTTCTCAATTCCCAACCGATTCGACGGCAGAGCCGCAAAGCTACAAACGCCAGACAAACGACGGCGACGATGTCTGTCTGTCAGTCTGTCTGGCTTTTGTGGCCCGCCGTTCTTGTTCTTGTTGTTCTTCGCTCGGGATATATATTTTGTTATTTGGCTAATTGTTTGTATTTTGTTTTCATTTCGAAGCTTTTAACGACGCAGCCAGCTAAATTAAGTATTATATACTCATTTAAGACTTCCGAAAAAGATATTTTGACTTAAATTTTTATAAATCTTTCATTTCTTAAATATTATAATTTTTTAAATCGTAATTTGGAGTTTAAAAAAAAAAACTCTATTATAAAGATCCATATCATTTATAATAATTCAAGCCGTCTACAAGAAATTTATTTTTAATAGATCCTACAATTTTGAAATTCTTAATTTGAACGGATATATATTTATATTTTAATTTCCCAACTTTCCTATGCTTATGAAACGCACATTTGGCACGTCTCTTTGAAGTTGAAAACAAGTGCAGGTGCTTTCGGCTGCCGCTATTCAGTTTATGCTGGTGAACTATTTCCCGTGATCTGTTTTCCTTTAGACCACAACAAAGTGTGCACCAGAATGGGAACAACAACCCCGGTAGTCTGGGGAATTTGGGTCACAAAAGAGATCCTGAGTGCGTGAATCAGCGGTGGTGACTCCATCGAAACTATGATCTGTCCGATCCATTATCCATTTTCCAATAAACGATTAATCATTCCGTCGGGGTCACACATCCCCCACAACCTTTTGCAGATCGAAGGTTGCCTTAAAAAAGATTCTCTGGCTAAATCGTAATTTCCACAAATTCAATTTCGAGTGCCTGGAAAGTGAGCCGTAAAACTTTAATATGTTAAAATGTAGCCATAGCGCGCTATGCTTACAAAAATAAACGTAAAATATGTTTTTGCCTGCCGCTGATGTGCTCAATCAAGCAGCGAAATGAAACGAAACGAATTGAAACGAATCGAGGCAAACAATCCGCACAAAAAAAAGGCACGAAAACATGGCTGACTATGTGGATAAATATGTATAATATAATATAATATTTGGATGTTTTATACAACTCGTATTTGTGTCTACATCGCATCGCGGGCGGCATAAAAAGCTCAGGCGAGTTAAACAAGGCGAACAAACAAGTAAACAAATAATAATAAACCCACCACCCATCTTTGCCCGAAAAAACAATTTCGGCTTTTTAATTAAATCATGTTGAGTGGTAAAAATAATATCAAAGAATCTGGCGCTGTGCGCATTTCAATCAAATCACTAAAAAACACGGTTCTAGCGGTGGTTTTTTTTCGCCAGCCGATTAAGATCCCGAACAACCGAGATATGGACGTAATTAAGTTTAAAGACCGCATCTCGACGATCTTTAATGACGGTGACAACGGTTAGTTACACAATAACTTGCTGTTAACACTTTTGCTTTTTTATTGAGGGGTTAATTGCTTGAATCTGTCTTTGATTTTCGGGGATACTGAGTCAACGGTCAAGCTCTCGGAGACCAAGACCATGAATCATGAATCACATATATGAACGAGCCCTGTGGCTCGAAACCGGCTCTTCTCGGCCGCTTTTGAAAACTTTTTGGCAGGAGGGAGGCAAAAAACTGGCCAAGACACTTACACTTCACTCGCACTTGTTGGAATCGCAAGCGGATTCGAATCTGCGTTCTCTCTGCGAAAATGAAAAGCGATTTGGTTGGGGAAGGGGAGGTTTCGTTTTAACCGTGACCGGGAGAGTTTCTTCTGGTTGTTTTGGGCACTTGATACGATATCTTTCGTTCCGGGCTTATATCTTTCTGCTGTTTTTGGCGAGACAACCGCGCGCGATCGTTGCGTTCGAGCGAATGAGGGCTGGGATCTCGGGATCTCTTGTTAGGAGTCGCACTGTAAGACGAGCGACTCACACAGATACTCCCGCTCACCCACACACTGCCATTCGGCCAGCTCTCTCTCTCGCTCTCTGAGTTCTTCGCTCAATCAACAGGTAAGCGTTTAGCCGAAAGGTGCGCAAATGTATCTGTATATCTGTACCTGTATGCCACACTCGTGTGCGGCACTTGCTGATAAGATAAGGCCCACAAAAAAGCCGAAATAAAGCAATGCAAACATTGTTTTATCCATGAATTTCGCAGCGTGTGATTATAACATTTGTGCCATGGCATCAAATCGAATTGGTTGACTGGCCCGGATCAATAATTTGACCGAAGCTAATTTGCAGCAAATCGCGATGTTTTTTTTTCGGTTTTGCGAACTGCAAATCTATATTTAGGTTGCATGCCACATCGCACCGAAACTGGTTCCTCCAGTTTCCTGATAATCTGGGTGACGGCTACACAACCCAAAACAACAGCGGCCCCAACACAACAACACCCCGATTCTGGCCGGGCCAATAGCTCCTCCACTGGCCACCAATGTCTGATTTTCCTTTTTAGCGCCAAAACAAAAATCAGAAATGTCGGTAAATAGGCCTTTATTGGACACTCTTTGGAATTGAGTGGAAGTTATTCCTTACCAAGCGATCAATAAATATTTAAATAATTGGTTTTGTTCTCTAAAACAATTTTTTTCAAAATAAAAGTAACTCTGTTTCTTATGACTCTCCCATAAATATTATCTAAAAAAAAATTAGACATTCCAAAATTTTTAAGTATGATCAATAATTTTTCAAATTCGATCATTTTAGTTTCCACTTTTTTTTGAGATCAAAGCTTTTAAGATTTACGACTGAAACATTTTAAATTAAAAAAAAGTTTGACAAGTATTAAATTTATTTTTATTTATTTATTTATATAGAGCAAACTTAAAGATAAAACTATAAGCTAATTAAGAGCTCTAGCAGCAAAGGCCTTCAGCTCGAAGTATTAAATCTAATACACAACTTTCCTCATACTCGTTTAATTTTTATTTTTTGCCTCAGAAAAAGCAAGGAAACAAAATTGTCATGGAAAATCGCAAAAACCCTTTTGTAGGGTAACACTACACCAAATGCAGTTCCTCCCAAAAAAGAAAAAAACAAGGAAAAAGCGATCAAACTGCGCAGTTGGCCGAAACCGGTTGCCGCCTTTGCAGATTGCCAGCTTTAGGCCCTTTGCAGTGATATTGACCAAGAGACCAGCGGGACCAGAGAAGCGGGCCAACAGAACGGCCGAACCAGCTAGAAGGTGAAAAGAACAAACAGAAACCAAAAGTGCTAGCCCCATGACTTTGGCTAATGCACGCGAAAGCGGCACTAAATCATTTGCCAGCTATTTTGTTTGATCAGAGTCCACCGATCGGACGGAGGACCCAGACAGAAGGAGGGACTTTCGAAGGGAACCCAGAGAACCCAGGTGGAGGAAGCGACATCGCGTAGTCATCTCGAAAATGTCACGCATGCGCGCCGCCGGCATGCGCGTAATTGCATTGAGGATGTGCGGCGGCCAAGAGGATGTGCCAACTATATAATCCACTTGGCTTGGCAATTTAATGAGCGTTAAAATACAACAAAATTGCCTGGGAATAAGCCGTAAAAGACCAGCAGTTGACACATAAATTATGAACAAATGGAGGTGACATCTATGGTTGATTTTTGAGGAGGAGGTAACCTTGAAAGGTGAGGCAGCGGTTCCGGTAGCAAAGTTTGAAGATATAAAGGTGTCCTTTAACCGTTTAACCGCAATAAACTATGTCCGACAAAAATGTTCAGCCAAATCCAATCTCCCAAACTTTTAAATGAGATTAATTCATCGTATTTCGGCGCCAATTATCGATTGATGAATCGGTTTCGATTCCGATGTTTAAAATTGAAACCATCGTTTCAGACCTGTAGCGTCCATTTACGGAAACTTCTTAGTTTACATACATTTTACACTGATATAGCGCCACCTAATAGGCCCCATCCATAAGCTACAATTGAAGTATTTTTTACAGTGAAAGTAAAAATAATTATCAGGGGTTCTACAAAATCGCTTAGCGCTGAAATCGTGTAAAATGTATTTCGATGCACATAAAAACACCATTACCATTCAGCACAAAGCCATTGTTTTAAATTTGTTGCAAAACTAATGTTAGGGTCCTTCAACTTTTTTAGAATCTCTATCAAAGTTACTTTTTATGTACGATGATGTGCGTTACCCTTTTGTCAATGATTTATTTTTAGTCAGTTCAGTTCTTCATTATTTTATTATCATAATTTTATTAAATTTCGTATTACTAAAATAATAATTAATTTTCATGAACTGCTTTCATTATCCAATCCGCGTAGCTGTGAATATATGTATAAACAAACACTCCGTTCGCATGAAAACTCTTTAGGCCAACAAGAATGTACTTATTGATGCCACTGATATTTTGAAATGTGCCTACTATTGAACCAGATTTCGGATGATTGAACTCGGGAGGTTCCTCGACACAAAATTGGTTATACTCTACTGTCATTCCAATTATTTGGCTGCAAACTGAATAATGTATGGGTTTTAAAGGTACTTTATGAGTGCCCACAAAACCTTCATTGTTCAAATTAATAAGTGCAGTCAACGTCCTTGGGGATTTGGGGTTCATCACAATGCAGATCGGTTTCACAACACCTGAGGAAACCAAATTGTATGACTTTTACAAAACAATCACATATGAAATTGAATCATAGTTACCTGAGCTTGGCACTTTTTCAGCTAGTTTAAGCAAAGCAATATTGTTTCTATTTGTCCCTGGTGAATATGAAAACTCTGGATGGATGTGGATTGATTTAACATCAAGACTCTGTCCCAATTTGGTTTCTACCTTTCTGCATAAAAAAAAGTATATTTTCAGGGATAAACATTAAAAGAAAAATGTA